TTATTAAATATGAATCTATCAAAACCTTTGATGTCCAGAGAAAATAACGATAGTACTATCAGAATTTTTTGATGGACCATTATCCAAAGAAAATTTTTAGAGACTAAAATTAAATTTAAATTATTTATAGAGATGAAAACATATTTAATCTTTAAAATATTAAGTTAACGATAAAAAAAGTGTTGAATGATAGGTGATTTACCGTTTACTTTTTCTTTTATTTTCTGTATTTTATATATTAAAACAAGATTTAATTATTATTACTAGAGTTGGAAAGCTATTTTTTGGTCTTTACATTTTAATGAAAGAGAATCAATCTCTTTTTAAAATAGTAATTGTGTTATTTTAATTTTGTAATCATTTGATTTTTGTTTTGTCACGCTTAAATCATATTTAATTGGTAATAGAAAATTGTCTTGTTAAATGGATTTTGGATCTATTTGTTGGAATTTTCTTTTTAAATAATCAAGTTTTTAAGGTGTAATATTAAATTAGTTAATATTTTTTTCATAATTTTTAATATAACTATATTTCAAGTTAAAAAAACTCTTATATCTTTTTAATTTTTCAGATTTATCAATTTTTTTATAGATTTAATGTTACCTATATATTTATAGATTTACTTGTTAGTTTTAAATTTTCTGTTCATAAATCTGCAACTAACGTTAAATTTGTAGAAAAATATGTAAATAATTAAAAAAGAATATAAAAAACATCAAGTTAATTAGTGTTTTCTTTTAATTAATTTATTGTTATTTGAAAAATAATTATATTGAAAATTATGAAGAAAAATTGACTAGTTTAATATTAAAACTTAAAAATGTGGTTATTTACATAAAATTTTCCTATTTATTTGTCATGGAAATTTCGTAGGACATCCAAACCGAACACTTTTTTTTTTCTTTCTATAAGTATATCTTAGCATGTATTAAATTTTCATAACTTACCTTTGTTCTTAAAAATTTGTACTTGTATTTTATACACACGCTAAGACAATTTTACTTAGTTCCTATAGTTTCTTTTAATCTTTTATTTGACTAATAATAGATGTAGTATAAGTTGTGTCTTACAAAAATTCTAAAAAGTGAATAATACAAACTTCTAAAATACACTTCTAAATTAAAATAAATCTAGATTGCAAAGAAAGAAAACATTAAAAAAATAATTCTAAATTTGTATAAATTAACATTTTGAACAATACACTTATCTAGGATTTACTAGGCATAATGAACCATGATTCTCTTCTAGAAATAAAAACTAAGATATTGAAGTAGAGAAATGCTAAATGCACCCCTTGGTATTGATAAAAATTCTCAAGCCAAAATGATCGTTTTTCTCTCTCTAACAAATTTATTGGACTGCACATTTGTCATTTTAGAAATTTTATTTTTGCCATTCACAAAATTAAACCAAATTAAATCTGACACCTCCATAATTTTTCATAATATCTAAAACACTCTTATTAAATTTAATTAAGAAAACGGAAAAAAAATTGATAATGTAATTGAAAAATTCGGTATGAATAAAAAAGTCTTATAGCGTATTTTAAAAATCCGATATGCTTTATAATTTTTAGGATTTTTTGAAAAATTTGATAGTTTGTTTTCGATAGATAGCAAAAACCGAAATTAGCACTATCAGACTTTTTGAAAAATCTAATAAAAATTAATCAGATAATATATTTGAAAAATTCGATAAAAATTCATAGAGTTTTTGAGAAATTCGATAAAAGTTTAATTTTTTTGAAAAATCTGATAAACTCATAAATTTTTTGAAAAATCTAATAGAAACTCGTAGATTTTTGAAAAATCTAATAGAGTACTTAAAAAATCTAAAAATTCTTAGATTTTTAAAAAATTCGGTAAATTTTTTTGAGATTTCTCATAAATTCGGTAAAAGAATTTATAGATTTTCTAAAAATCCAATAAAAACTCATGTAATTCTCCAAAATTTTAATGAAAACCCATTAATTTTCCAAAATTTCATAAAACACACAATATTATTTTAAAAACATAAAATATCACAAAAAATACTCATTAGTCCATTGAGAATATTTTCCTTAAGGTTCAAATCATAGGGGACACTTGGCATGGTGTGAGTGGGGTTTTAGTGGGACAAGGCCCTTTTGAAAAAAAAAGTATAATGAACAAAAAAAAGTAAATTAGTGATGTAGGAGCATTTTACTTACCACTCTCAAATTATATGTGATACTCTTCTATTTTTCATTATTTCAGAAATGTTTTTGGTGAAATGGAAATAATTTTTTCCGAACGAAATTTCAAGCACTTAAAACTAAATTTCTGGTATAGACTATATTTCTGGTAGTTCATATGAAAATTTCGGTACAGTTAAAATTTTTGGTATTGTTAAATTTTTTTCGAAAATTTTAAATTTACCATTTTGTATTGGAAATTTAATTATACTCAAATTTTTGATAGTGTATTGATTCAAAATTTTTTAACGATCATGATTTTGCCGACATCTTTAGAGGATTCTGATTACACCGATAAATTTGTGTGGTTTAAATTGAATCTCCATTTGTATAAATAGGACCAGTGAAGAATGTACCAACGACAAGGAGATGAAACAACGAGTATACATCATCTAATGTGATAGTCATCTCCCCAAATCAAAGATGAAAGGATGATGTCTCAGGGTACCACCACTCAACAAAAGCTGACAAGAGGGAGGTATCGAGCATGGTCAGTGAGCAGTTAGAGAACTCCAAGAGACTAAAATCACAGAAATATGCCTGACCTGCTCAGGCATCGGACCCTTTGAGAAGTTCTTCAACTTCGAACCATGGGATGTGAGCGTCGGACACTTCTATAAGAAACAAAGTTAAAAAGGTATCAATAAATTTTCATATAGTCAATCGAGCCATAATGAATAATTTGCAATAAAAAATATAACATATATACCCCGCACGACCATACTATGTATGCGACATAGTAAACATATTATGTGAGCACGAACCTGTTAGCAGGTCCTCCTGAAAAGGCTCCATCAGTGTGAACTGATGACTCTGTAAATGCACGATTTGTGGCGTCTGTATCAGTAGGAGAAACCTCATCAACTACCTCATTCACAAGAACCTGCTCAGCCACTGCATGAACCTCCTCAACAACAACCTCCATAGCGGGTATCTCAACAACTTCCTCCTTTATAACAACCTCCACAATGGGTACCTCAACAACTGACTCCTTCGCAGGTACCTGGTCAGCCACAATCACAGGTACCTCTATAACAATAACCACTGTAGCAGGTACCTCAAGTAGTAGAAACTCTAACAGGCCAGCGCTAGGGTGTGAGGAACTGCATGCACCTGTTCAGCCATCTGTTTCCGGTGAGAATCAGTCGGAGAATGTCTTCTAGCCCGTAGTTGGGAAGCCTCTGCCTCGTCCCTCCGGACCTGAGCATCTGCTCTATCAATCAGCCTGCCCGCAACGGAACCGTCTTTACCCATGGTCCTCAATGAAATAAAAGAAGGGGGAAAATTTAGTTAAAATTGAATTATCAAATTTTTTGAAATTTTTGAGATTTTTCAAAAAAAATTGAACTATCGTAAATTTCGAAATTTCCGGTACAAAATGCTACAAAATCACCAGAAATTTTGAAATTTACGATAAGAATGACCAGAAATACTCAAATTTTCGTGAATTTCTATTGGAAATTTCACAAAAATACCAAAAATTCATACTTTTTCTTGAAAATTCGGGTAACTACTCCAAATTTTCCATATCACCCTTGAAATTCGAAATTTTCGGGGGTGGCGGGGTGGGGTGGATATAAGTGTAAGGGTGGCGAGTTAAAAGCTCACAATGTAGTTATGGAGGTAAACACGTGTTTTTTTGTTCTGAAGGGTGGAGGATACATACTTTTTACAAAGAATTGTGATTAGGCATGAAAAAAAATTTGAACTCAATAGAATCCGCAACGCTCTCGTTGAATATAACGTAAAAAATCGATTTAATTAGAAGCAAAGACATATCTGAAAAAAATCCGATTTTTAATTACAGGGACGAAGGCGGGGCAGGTGATGCTAGTACGTACATGCATTGCACCCCGACACCGCCTATTAAAATTCTTTATTATCCTTATTTTTTAAACTTTATTATCTATGGACCCTTTTTAATCTTAAAATATCAAATTTATTTAATTATTAATAATTTTTAAAAAATCTAAAACAAATGAAAATGACCAAGTGTTTTAATTATTCTTAAAACGAATGAATATTTAATTTAATTATTTATTTTTATTGCTTAGAAAAAATAAACTTTTAAAAAAAAAATTATGTTGATAGGACGGAGTAGAGAAACTCATTCTTTGTTGACGATGAAGACAAAAGTTAATTGTTATCTTTGATTAAGTCTCCGAGAGAGAAAGTGTGAGAGTGATATAGAGAGACTAAGAGGTAAAATTATTTAAACCCACCTCGATTCACTCCATCGTCATGTTTAATTGTGATGGTGATATAGTTGTGGAGATAAAAGAAGATAGTTTAGTATAAGTCTCACATTGATTTATTTAAATTGTATAAAAGTTTATACACTTTAAACATGCATAGTCTAAGTATTTCGAATAGATTTAGATGACAATGAATCTATGAGTACTGGATTGATGATATAATTTTTGGTCCAAAAGTTTTTTTTCAAAATTTTAATTAATTATTTTTAAAAAAAAATTAAAATTAAAATTTAGGATAAAAAACTGAGTTTTAAAACAGGGGAATAAAAAGTTAAAAACAACATTATTGCGAACGTGATCTAGGAAAACATAATGCTATGCTCTCATAGTTTTACTTTTGTTTTCTTATTTTTCTTCTTACAATATTTTGCTAACATCACATAAGAAATGATCATATATCTTTTGTCTAAAACAACAATAGAGACTATTGAGACACAAAAGCTTGCTATATTTTTCAAATCATAATGCAATACAATCAAGTAAGATACATAGTCCTAAGAGATGATTTTTCATTTCATGTAGCTTCTAAAAATCTAACGACCACCAGAAAGAAGTGATTCAGCAATTGAAGAAGTATGAGAGAATGGTCTATCCATAGAAGAAGAAGCATAAGACATACCAAAATCTTGAAAATTTTCACATTGTCCAGAAGTTACTCCCATTGAAGACAAACTAAGAAAAGACAAATCAGGAAGTGGCAAATCCCTCTCCAAATACCTCAAAACTTGTCTCATACTTGGCCTAGCCAATGCCTCACAATGTGAACACAACAAACCAAGTTTCAACACCAATTCAACTTCTCCAACCACATAATCCACACCCAAATTTACATCTCTAGCCTCAACAATCTCACCTCTTTTCCAACAATCATAAACATAATCAACCAATATCAAACTCTCACATTCCCTTACTTGTTCTATAGGCCTTTTACCACAAACAACCTCAAGCAAAAAAGCACCAAAAGAATACACATCAGAACTTGTTGTAGCTTTACCTGTTCTTGTATGCTCAGGTGCTAAATAACCAAGTGTTCCAACAACATGTGTTGTTTGAGGATCAGTTCCATGATCATATAGTCTTGAAAGACCAAAATCACCTAATCTTCCATTCAATTCACCATCTAATAAAACATTACTAGCTTTAATATCTCTATGAACCACAACTTGCTCCCACTCTTCATGTAAATAAAACAAACCAGAAGCAACACCTTTAATGATCCTAAACCTTTGACTCCAATTTAAGGTAAATCTTTGTTTTCTGTTGTGTAAATATTTGTCCAAGCTTCCATTTTGCATGTAGTCATAGACAAGAAGTAACTCGCCTTTTCGCCTGCAATAGCCCAGAAGTGGAACAAGATTCCTATGACGAAGACGACCGATACTAACAATCTCCGCCACGAATTCCTTCATCCCTTGTCTTGATTCATGTGAAACTCTCTTCACAGCTACCTCAAGCTTTGAAATTGGCATCACACCTTTGTAGACTCTACCAAATCCACCTGTTCCTAACAGCTCTTTCTCCTTGAAACCCTTTGTTGCAAAGTATAAATCTTTGTACTTGAATCTTTGAGTTCCATAGTCTTTCTCCCAATCCTCATGAAGCTCAGAGAACATTTTCTTTCTCTTGATGAAATGAAACATTGCTATAGCTACCATTAGAATCAAACATACTGAAATCAAAGGCAACCCAATTGAGAAAATTAACTTAGAATCTTTTTTGTCACCAAATCTTGGTAGCTTAGGAAGTTCAGAAATCACAAGGCTTTGAGCTTGACCATTAACCTTAAAACTCCAACCAAGAATATAATGAGAAGTTAGAATTGAACCTGTTGAAGATGAGAATCCAACATACATAGTACTATTGTCAATAACAGAAGAAAGATCTTTGTTCAATGATAACAAGGCTTTTTCTGGTTTCACAACATTCATTGGAGCTAAAGTAACATCAATCTTCTTCTTTCCACCATCATACTCCAACCAAACTTGCATTGGTAAGCCACTGAAAAGGCTCAAATTCTTGAACTCATTACCACCTATGTCATAATATCCGGCCGAAGCCGATTTTTCTGATTTCAATCCATTGATATCAATTCCAACATGGTTGTCATTGATATCATCAAACTCAGTATTCAAAATTGTATCAAGCTCTAAACCAAAAACATGGCTATTGTTGTTTCCTATGTTTGTTTCATTGAACAAGCCAAGATACTGACTTGGTAGTGAATTCGGCAACCCTTTTGTTGGAGAAACAACAAAAACAATTCCATGACCACTAAGAGAACCAAACTCTGATCTTATAGCAAAAACAAAAGTAGTTGAGAAAGAAAACACACTACTACTTCCATTGTTGAAAACTATAGGATTTGGATAGAAAGCATGACCCTTTTCTTGTTTGGTATCATTGGTTAATCTAAGTAATCCATTAGAAGTTAACTCAGCAACACCATCAAGATACAAATGTGATGATTTGAATCCATTATAGATGAAACTGATATTGCTATCTTCACTTGCTACAACTACTACTAATGTTACAAACATAGAAACTATTGCTACAAGGTTGAAAGACATAGTTTGTTATGCTTTGAAATATGTTTGTTGTTTCAATATTTGTTGTTTTGTTTCTATGGTTCGCTTGTATCACACATTTGAATTTTCATATGAAGCTTACGTGGAAAGATCCTAGCACTTTCATAAAGTTGAAATACATCACTTTCATTTATTGTTCTTTTTTTCAAAACTCTTGTGCCACAATTTAAATTCAAAAACAAAGTTGTCAAATTGTAAGTATGAAATTTCTTTGTTGTTAAGTATAGTGGGACTACTAGGTAGATAAGGGAGAAATTAATAGGAACACGAGAACTGAGCTTCAAGGAAGATTCCTGATATTGAAGTTTGGAACTATGTAGGGTCAAATATGGAGTGGACCCCTATCTATGGCATGATGTAATTCATTCAAATTTTCATCAGAAAAAGGTGACAGAAATGAGAAGGATAAAAAGATAAAGATGAAAAATAAGAAACAGAAATAAAGGTTGGTCAATCTTTACAACTTTTTTTTTTTGCTTTGTTAAAGAAGTGCAGTACAAAATTGGAGCTTTGTTTGGAACATAATAGGGTCTTGTGAAAGGAATAAAGTTGGCTCTCTCTTCTGTGGTTTTGCCTGCCCATATTTTGCCTAAACAACATATACTTGGTCCGGTTAAATAAGGTTGACCCTTGGTTCATTTTTCTATTGTATTTGAAATTTAATTCACTAACATGTCTAGTACAATCTACTGTTTATTATTATTAGAACTCCAAAACATATAAAACTAACGGTAACAAAACGCGTTCGTTCCGTTAAACATGTCTGTATTATTCATTTTTTTTTACGGACGAGACAAAGTTTTAGTCTTATATTCTCTTATTTCCATCCCGTCCATTCTATTTTTTTTTTGTAATTGTGAGAATTAATAAATGAGCGTGAATTTATGCAAGCAGAATCCGACCGCCACACCCTCATATTTTTGCTAGTTAAGTTAAAGTTTTGGTCTCACACCATCTACTATATCTACCCTAGTAGTTTTGTAGGGGTAGACAAAGTTTTGGGCCACACCCTTACTATGCCAGTCTTCATATTTTTTTGGACGGGTCAAAGTTTTAACCTCGTATCTATTACTATGTTTGCTCCGCCTCTATTTTTTATGATCTTTTACGAGCGAACCTAAGTGAGACGAGCATACTCGTTAGCTACTCCGCTAATACAAAAAACACGTACAACAACGATTGTGAAACACATATAATAACGGTAGTGTGCCCATTGTTAGATAGTGTGTGATTGTATGTATGTTGATTACCACAACAGGCGTGTGACCGTTGTTATAAATTAGATAGAGCGCTACTTATAACTACGATTTAAGGAAACAATCGTTATGAAATAATTGAAAGGTCCTGAGTTCGAATCCCAACAACGCCATTATTGGGTTTTATTATTCTGAATAACGCTCTTCTTATAACAACGTCTGAATTAACAACCGTTGTGATATAATTTGTGTTTTTTTTAAATATTAATTTTACATAATTCCCAATTTTGCAACTTGAATATTTTTAAATCATCTACCAGAAACAACAATACACCTAAAATTCCATTAGGAACTAAAATTGAATTAGACCAAAAATTGTATTACATCAATGACTCAATTCCATTAAGAATCAAACCTTGTATGTTACATAAAAACTAAAATTGAGACAAAACAACCTATAATGTACACATCATTACATCAAATTATACTATCTTGTTGTCTTGGGGTCTCCTCTCTTGGTGTCTTCACTTTACGTACCTATAATTTTCAAATAATAATAGTTGTTAGAAATTAAATAACATAATTGAAAATTATAACAATCAATAAATTATAAATGAAGAATATAAAATACTTACTTGTTAATTTTTCCATATTTCTTCTTGATGATCGTTATGAATAACATGCACATCATCTCTACCAACTTCTTCATATGAATTAGACACTTGTGTTGCGTAAGAAGGAGTGACAACAATATCAAAGCTTTTATCATCGCTATGAGGAATGTGTTTTCCTTTAAGAACAATTGACCATTTTTTTGAAATGATGCCAGAGATAGCCATTGGTTGAATTTGTTGCATCAAGACATGACAATCATAAGATTTTAAGCCAATTAACGTGAGATATTTCATTGATACAAGTTTTTTTATGTTCAAAGAGTAATCATGTGAAACTTTGATACCTTACAAACACTCGCAAAAACTTTTCTTTTCCTTTTTAGATAGAATGTGACATGCCAGAGGCAAATGAAATCTTTTTCCTCTATCTTCTGGAGTAAAGTGTTGTCTAATACCCATCGCCATCATATCTAAACGGGAACTCCTACTATATTTAGTCTTTTCTGGAATGTTTAAAAGTGTTCTTATAAAACTATCACACACATTTTTCTCCATATGTGTCACATCAAGGTAATGTCTTTGTGATACAGTGGGAAGAACTGACTGTTTTTTGGAATGCTGGTTTGCGTTTTGCGTTTTGTGTTTGCAAAATGTCGCGGTAAGCAAGAGTCACCACCGACTTTTATTTTATCCAACAAGGAAAGGAAAAAAGCACAGAAAACTCTTTTTTAGAGATGTTTCTCGGGTTCGGGGGGTAGATTATAGAAAGGGAAGGTGTTAGCACCCTTTCTATCTGTGGTTATCCACGGGCTCTTAGGTACTTGCTCAATTGTTTTCAAAATTGTTTTCTTTGTGCTTGTGGGTTTGAAAAAGGTTTTGTTTTTAACTTCGATTTAACTCTTGTTTCTGTCCTCAAGAGTGTAATGAAGTGTTTTTTTTAAAACTTTGTTTGAAAAAGAGTGTAAGTGTGAAAAAAGTTTGTTTTGGATGAGCAAGTATCTAATAACTATCTACCTACTCGAAAAAGGAATCGTTCTATGCTATTTTCCTTTGGACAATGCTATCCCACTATTAATGAGTCGGTAGCACTGTCGTTGGAGTTTAAAGGTCAATTCGAATTTAGGGACTTACTGTCACTAAAGCAATGTTAGGACGCCTTAGCGGTAACCCTAATGTCTTAGATCATTTGTTTGAGGCAACAATATCCGAGGCAACCGTTTCGAGACGACTATGATCTTTGGACAAGAGGGCGACCTCTAAAACAACCTATACTTAATGACCGCGTACGAAGACAACCAAGTGGGGTGTACCCTAAGAGTGCGCATGTGCGAGTGTGTCGTTTTCAGTTATTTTTATCTTGGTACATGTTAAAGGTGATCTAAGTTGATTTTAGGTTAAAACATTCAATCTTGTCATGCATCCCTATTATCAAACATCTAACAATTATAGTTTGCGGAAAATAAAATGCGGAATTTAAATTACAAGGCGTCGGGTATTTACATCGCCAAAGACAAACCCTTTAAAAATAAATAAAGCGATAAATGATAAATAAAAGTCCTATTAACTATTACAACCCGGAATCAGATACTTAAATGGATAAAAGAAAGTAAATCGCGTGCGGGAAATTAAATTGAGCGCAAAGTTCTAGGGTTTTGACCCTTTTTGTTAAAGAAAAGATTTTTTTTTGTTTTTTATTTTATGAAAGAAACTAACCTAAATTAATTACTAAATTAATAAATAAATAAATTAATAAAAATAAATTATTTTTGGTTTTTTTTGTATTTTAAGAAAGAAATAAAAATGAATTGAATTAGTAAAAACCTAATTAAGTCTAATTTAATTTTAATTATTTACAAAAATATGTTAAAGTTATTCTAATTAAAATCTAAATTAATTTAATTAGTATTTATTAATAAAATAAAAAATTAAAATTTGATTTGATAAAGAAAATATTTTTGTGGTTTTATTTTATAAAGAAAAGAATTTTTTAATTGGTTAGTAATTAAATAAAAATAATAAAACAATTAATTAAAACAAAATAAATAAATAAGAGAGAAAAGAGGTTTGGGCCTAAATTGGGGAGTTTGAACAGCAATTATGTGGCCCATTAAGCGCTGGCCCTGTTGACTTTTTCATGATTTGGTGTGTGTGCGCTCACTTTGCCTATGGTGGTCCTTCAGATCTTGGCCACCAGATTTGGCCTTTGGCCATCTGGCCATTGGATATGTGAAGGTGTATGGTGAACTGCACGCTTGGATGTACACTTGATTACATGAAGAAGAAAAATAACAAAGAGAATGGGGGACCTGGGATTCGAACCCATGTCCTGAAAGTGATATGCTTGCCTGCCTTGCCACTACGCTGCTCTGTTCTCTTTGTTAGTAATATACACACAAAATATAATATATTAAAACAAGTTAATATGCCAACAAAACAAAAATACGCGTGAATTATTTGAACCGGCCAATCAAAGGAGGACACGATCTCGTCCCTGTCCTCAGACCTGTAACAATGTTACCCGCGGATTTGAATCCGCAGCTAAAAGCATAGGCCACTCCTAAAATCCATCTCAGGCTACATAAATTCATTCCAAGGCCATGGTTGCATTCGTCTTCCTCTTCTGGTCACGCCTATAGCCATCACTAAGGCTAATTTTATCTGAAACGAAAAACCCTAAACCAAGATGCAAAACCCTAACAATGGTGTTTTACATTAAAGGTTAGATAAACAAAATTGAATAATGCAAAAAGCTTAGAAACATTGTGAGGATTACAAATATGCAAGCAATTTGTTCAAATGATGCAAGAATGATGAACTACGATTTCAAGAGCAATGGCATTTATCGTGACACTTACAGCGCTTTGTGGTGTCTGAGAACGCTTGATTTTGATCCAAATCGCTTGTGTGAACACCCAGGAAGAGATTGGGACCGGTCTCAGCTTCTGAAAATGCCTCTAGCTATGGATTCGATCTCCAACTTTTTGTGACTTTTTTCAATTTTTGTTCTGCCTATTCTTGCAGCCTCCAACCCTTATTTCGATTTCTTTGGCTTGTTTATGTAGTATGGAATGTATTAGGGTAAGAATTATGGCTTGAATCTTCTCATATCAATGCCTTGGGATTTGATTTGATTCACCCTTTAAACCTTTCCAAATTTGCCAAATCTCCATCT